ATGTTGCAACTACCCAGAGATGGGAGGAAGATGAGTTTCCGCAGATTCCTCATATCAACGCAATGACCCCAAGTGGACTGAGCTTTTCGAATCGTGGTTTCGTGGACAGACAATGAATGATGTGTTGTCTTGGCAATTTGTTGATTGGCTAGGTGAATGGACGATGAGATGTCTGTTGCATTTGTTGGTGAACTGCAAGAAGAAGTGATGGAGGATGAACAGCAAATTGATGCCATCTGGGATGATGAAGATCGTGCGCAGCCAATCCAGTAGAACAGATGATCTCGGAAGAGACGCTGGTCGATGAGGTAGATATCCCAGGCCTGCCAGCCGACGAAGCCGAACGACGCCGAATGTGGCGCAAGCTGCCTGCACGTGTGAGGATTGGTGTAAGAAGGTTGCATAGGCAATTTGGACACGTCTCAAAACAGACGATGATCCACCTTCTTCGTGCAGCAAAGGTCAGGAAGGAATTCATCGACGCTGTCAGGATCCACAGGTGCGAGACGTGTGAGGCAACATCACAGAAGAAGGCCACACACAAAACAGCACTACCTAACAACTACTCGTTCAACCACACTGTAGGCATAGATGTGTTCGAGGTCCCTGACAAGTTTCAGGTGTTGAAAATGGTTTGCCTCGGCACGACCTTTCAGCTGTGTGAGATTGTTCGTTTTGGAGCTGGTCAACCGTCTTCTGCAGAATGTTTAAGAGCCCTGAGGAAACGATGGTTATTTCATGGTGTGGACATCCTGTGAACATTGCCTGTGACAGAGGTCTACATAACCGAGGTGTCATGAAGAAGCACATGGATGAACATGGAATTCAAGTGTTCCACACTCCTCTGGAAAGCCCGGAGAATCTTGGTCGTGTAGAACGTCATGGAGGGATTGCCAAATCACTCTTCAGAAAGGTTTGCAAGGAGACAGGCGCTATTGGCAGAGAACAGGTTGAGCAGGTCCTGCTTGAGGTAGTAGCTACCAAGAACAATTCTAGCCGAGTCGGAGGTTTTTCGCCGTGCCAATGGGTCCTTGGCAAAGGCCCCCGATCAGATCCGAGCCCTTTGTCGGAAGAACGGTTCGCCGAACTTGGAGCTATTGAAGCCCGCCACAATCCGGAGAGCATTTTAGCCTTGCAGCACATGGCCAGACAAGAAACCCAGAAGGCATTCGTGCATCTTGATTGTTCGGCAAAAGTATCTCGTGCGCTTACTCGCAACGCTGACAATGTTATGAAACCGATCATTACATATCATGAAGTCGGTGAATGAAAACAAAAATAAACCAAAACGTGGGCCGGTAACGAAGCCGACAACATATACATGTACAAAAAGACATTAAAATGCGAATGCCTCCACGGTTGTGAAAATCCGTGTCACCAAAAAGAAACATGAAACCATCGAAAAATTCAACACGGACGATGAGTGTCAAAAAACAAGAGTTGTGGTTGTCAACGCTTGCCACACAGACACGGCTCCATTTAAAGTCTTGCGTGGTGGCTTTGTAGCGCACAGCAAGTCTCAATTTTAGATTTTCAAAGGAGTTTTAGCACTCAGAAGAGTTCCGCAACTATATGTATGCTTTTGCTTTTGGTTGAAGCTCGCTTTTTCATCGACATTGACGTGATCAGTCATGGAGTATTTGCTCAGCATTTGTGGCTGTTGCAAAGCCCTGCTGATCAAGTTTCCTTCGTACAACACCTTGGCTAGCAATTGTTTACGTCATTTTGATCTTTGATCTTACTGCAAAATCAACGTGCTGCAAATCAACCTGAAACAGTCATGAGACACTTATTGAGAGCAATAAACTCAAGAAGCGACAAATGTTTTATCGCGAACATGTCTTAACTCCAAAACGAGACCTTGACCAGCCAGAACTTGAGTTCAATCAAACCAATGATTCCAGTGTTCAAACTGTTTTACAATCAAGACAAATGCTTTCTTGACACACTTACCAAAAAATAGTAAACCGCACTTGCATTGCATTGCCGCTTGCAAAAACGATTTCTGCCAGAACTGCTCATCTGCAACATGGTCCACATTTCAGCATCAAAACGTCTTGGCAGGGCTGCGCCACGTGAATCGTGGCAGGCACTTTGGAAGCGCAAGAGTTGACAGCACTGTTGGCGGTGAAGGATTAGACTTTTTGGTTTTCTGGAAGCTAATGGACTTTTGTTCCATGGCGGTCAGTTCCAATGATCTTTCTTGGATCAGTTTGAGTCCATTTGGCTTGAAGGCTCTGTGAAGGTAAGAGCAAAAAATCTCACAAGTGTCACAGTAGTTCAGAAATCGTTTTTTCCACGAAACCCACCCATCACTTGCGCAGCCAGCCTGTCCACGTTGGCAACCCCGGTTTTTCAAATTTGATTTTGTCCTTGACTCTGCTGCTTGCTCCTTGAGAAAGCCATGTGGAATGAACTTTCTGAAGCTGGACGTGCTTGCGCAATCGTACGTCTCATCTCAATGTTTCCGCTTTGCAAGTGTAGCTTTGCTTGTGACACGCAGCGATGAATAACAAAGAGCGACAATCCTGTCCAAGCACAGGTTGAATTGGAACTTTGAGCAGCTGCGCTGGAAGCGCCCGCAAGCTGCAGTCAGGTGTTGAATTGGCATTCTTCAGCCATGTGGACCTGAGCACGCTGACCATTTGCGCCTTTGGCTTCTCTGCTCATCCATTGAGAAAGAGCGCCAATTGCAGTTTGGATTGATGGGCTTTGCCGTGGCAGAGAGCCTTCGCTAACAGAAATGATTTGCAGCTGTGTTGAAGGATTTCACAGTTTTTTCGCTCTTTGACAAAAAGCTGAAAATTGTTGGCGACTTCGTTGCAAACTGTTTGCCAAATTCCACCAACATGGACCTTGTGGCAGATGTTTCACAGCCTCTTGGCGCCAAACATGTTGATGTAAGTATTTCAACACCAAGCAGCCACAATTACTTTACGTCGAGTGATCCCCACCGTGACATTTCAATCGGTCAGTTTTTCTGGCATGTAAAAACTGTTTTGCATTCTTTCTGGCATATCTTCTGACATTGTTTCCGGCATGTCTCCTGACATTCCATCTGGCATATCTTCTGACATTCATTCTGGCATTCTATCTGGCATATCTGCCAGATACATTCTTTCTGGCATCTCTTCTGACATCCATTCTGGCATTCTATCTGGCATATCTGCCGACATTCTTTCGGCAGGTCTCCTGACATTCCATCTTTCGCCATTCTCTTTGGCATGTCTTCTGACATTCTTGCTGGCATATCTTCTGACATTCTTTCTGATATTCTCTCTGGCATCTCTACTGACATTCATTCTGGCATTCTATCTGGCATATCTGCCATACCTGCTATTTTTTGCATATCTGCTGACATTCTTTCTGGCGCATCTTCTGACATTCTTTCTGGAATATTTTCTGACATTCTTTCTGGCGTATCTTTTGGCATTCTCTCTGGCATATCTTCTGACATTCTTTCTGGCATATCTTCTGACATTCTTTCTGATATTCTCTCTGGCATCTTTTCTGACATTCATTCTGGCACTCTATCCGGCATATCTTCTGACATTCTTCCTGGCGACTCTGGCAAATCTTTTTGCACTCTTTCTGACACTCTATCTGGCATGTCTCCTACGTATCTCCTGACATTGTTTCTGACATTCTATCTGGCGTTCTAGCTGGCATATCTCGTGGCTCGCGGTTGAGGTCCGGCGAGGACACTGCCAGCCCAAGCTCGCGCTTAAGGTCCGGCGCAGAACACTGGCAGTTGAGGTCCGGCGGGGAACGCTGCCCTTCGGAGCTGGTGGTTGAGGTCCGGCGGGGAACACTGCCAGCGGGGAAAACCGTCGTCTGGAGCTGGCGGTTGAGGTCTGGCGGGAGGTCCGGCGGACACTGCTGTCCGACACTGGCGGTTGAGGAGGAGAGGGGAGGAGAGGAGAGGAGAGGAGAGGAGAGGAGAGGAGAGGAGTGGAGTGGAGTGGAGTGGAGTGGAGAGGAGAGGAGGAGAGAGAAGAGGAGAGGAGTGGAGAGGAAATTGAACAGCTCAGAGTCTAGGTGAGTCAAGAGCTAGGAATGATTGACATTGCTATTACAGACTTCTCCGGTAAAAGTCAAAAGGAATGAAGTGGCGAGTCAATATATTTGTGAACGCTTGGACCATCAAACCCTTTTCCATGTCCAGCGCTGAACAGAATTCTGATGGATGAGGGGAACCTGTGCATATGGCAAATTAAAGCGAGAAGCCATATCAAAGAGAAACAAACAAACAGGAGGCTGCGGCAGCTTCTATTTGTGTTTTGAGTGAATTTTGTAACTCTTGTGGCTAGCAAAGATCCAGTCCGGGTCATATTTTACAAGCGTCAGTTCATGTTTCCTCGTTTTTGTGTCCCTTGTGAATGATTTTTTTTCTTTTCGAGTTGTAGTCACATTTTCAGATTTGGCCGCCTAGCACAGAGCACGCTACCTCAAGTGATCGGAAAATGAAAAATGCGGTGTTTTCTTGAGAAAATCCATGTCGATGAAATCAACCAGCGGATTGAGTGCGTTGTCAATGATGTTGTCACGCCTGTCATTCATGTTTTTTTGGCATTAAAAACACTGCATTACTTTTTGTGAAAAAAACGCACTTGTTTTGTGGGGAGTCATTGGGAGTCAACTATCGTAACTATCGTTCTCGGCACCTGCCAGGTCTTTCGTTTTTATGTGTGCTTGCGGGGTCAAGGCTTTCCACAACTCCACAAAGTTTCAATTCCGGATTGCTTTCCTTGTAAAGGAGAGGCTGAATGGTTTGCAAGGGGTATGTTTTTCGTCACGCCTGTTACCGTTTCATTCAATATGGGCTCCAGACACAGAATTTTTGAAAGCCAAAAGGCCATTGTGAGCAAGACGAGTGTTTGTACGCCTCCAAAAAGCCATGTTGTTGCAGTGCTCGCCACCCACTTTCCATCCTTTTCCGGGTAAGTGAGCCTGTATGCCTTCAAACCCTGAAAACCACGTGGAGTCTGTGGAATGTCCAATGGGCATCTTCAGGCCGTTTCAAGCGTTTCAAGCGTTTCATTCGGAACATCCATGTGTTGTGCGTTTCATTCGGAACATGTCATGCAAACCCGTTTCCAGGCAGTGGATGGGTTGAATCACGATATCCAACACATTTCGCTCCTCACCTGAGGGTTTCAATCAACATGGTATGAACCTCAGAGTATTTTGGGACCAAACGATCTTGTTTTTAACCTACAAGATGTGAATACGATGTCTCAACTTCCCAACCTGGTGAAAAACATATGCCGGAGTTTGTTTGTTCTAATGCTAGCAGCTAGCAATGAGACATATGTGTGGGCGTGCAGGGCATTTAAAGCGTGAAAAACACGATCTTGCAACTATGCCACGATGCTTGGGCACCGTCTGGATGGCCGTGCTGGTTCTTGCAGCTGCGTCTCATTTTCTTGCTTTCGTGCAGCTGGTCTCCGCTTCGGTCAGAATTGGCGAAGTGATGGGACAGTGATTGGGACAATTATGTGATGACAGAGCGGTTGAATGCAATTTTCAATGTTTAGTTTTGCTCTACTCTATTGCAGATGAACCTTTTAGGTCGTAGGGAAATTAAGGTGAGAAAACTCTTTGCAAAACAATTCTTTCGGAGCATTAGTTGGAACCCCAGCCCTTCTACGTTCAGGACCCGACAGCGGAACTCAGTATGTGGTTGTCATTCGGTGGCGTCTTTGCAGCTCGTAATGCTTTGGGAAATTAAAAGCCAATCCAAAAATCCAACAGGTCAGGACCCATAGCCAAACCATTGCTCCCCTCTCACAATCCCAAGCAGTTCGACGTTCCGAGGCCGCTGGCAACACCGTCTCGTCCCCGTGTGGCGCGTGTGGCGCGTGCGGACGGGCCGGTGGGACTGAGAAGCGCAGAGCACAGTGGGGAGCTCACCCAGCGCAAACAGAGGCCCGTCATAGCAGTGCTGGTGGCCATGATGTTGAGCCACCTGGATGGAACAGAGGGCTCTGAATTTCGGAGCCCCGGGGGCGCGGTTTGGGTGATGGAGGAGAGATTGAGTTTTCCAGCTCTTCATTAGAGATAGTTTTCAAGTCTTGATTGATAAGAGTCGGAAAAGCAAGTGCCAAGCAGCCCTAGGATCTTTTTAGAAACTCAGAAATTGTAGCAAGACGCTCTCGAGCAGCAATCGCCCCTTCAAGATTCTGCAACAGTTGGTATTGCGGAAACCCTATCCATCACTTCATCACCCTGCTTTTCTTGGGCCGCCCTTGGATGGCACCTAGTGATGCGTGGATGGTTTCGATCCAGGCTTTAGCTTGGCAGCTGCGGCGCTAGCTCCGCCAGACCCCACGGTGGAGGCTGCCTGGGGTTTTGTTCGAAGCATCTTGGCCGATCTGAGCAAAGCAAAGCCCAGCAAGGCTCGGCAAAGCCTTGAAGATCCCTTGAATCTCCCGCTGTTTCACCTGGAACTGCTCAATGAATTTAGGGAGAACTGCAAAGATTTGAGTGTGGTGGTTGCATGCTGTAGATGTCTGGCCTGTTTTGATTTGCTTGTGTAAACGCGCAAGAGGTGCCGTGAAAGAGGTGTGTTTGGGGAGCTGATCAACAATGCATTTACCCTTCCTAGATGATTTTATTCTTCCTTTACAGGTGGCCTCTCCTGCGCGAGTGGATGCTAAGAAGCATCACAAGGCTGTCTTTCTCCTGTGTTCTGACAGTGTGGTGAGGAAACTACTACGACCAGACTTTCAACAAGCAAGACTGGAACGCCCTCCACGAGCGATTTCTTCGACGGGTCGACCAAGGTGAACGTGCTTTTGCCGTGAAAAAATGTTGAGTCGAAGAGGTTTCTTCAGCGGAACATGGATGGAGTTTGATGGCCCCACAGTGGAAAGGGGTTGTAACTTTGGAGTGGTATGCGCGATTTCATCCTTCGTTGAAACGAACAACGACAAACAGCTAGTGGGGGCTGGCCAATTTCTAGGATTTCTGTGATCCTAGGCTCCTAGAGTCGTAGGGTATTTGCTTCCAAGAGCTGCTCTGCGCTCCCCTCACAGCCAATCTCTGGTGCAGATGTCTTGGTCCTCTCCAGATTCTCCACAGCGAGACAGCGCCCAGAATGCGCGAAACACAACAAACATCTCTTCATGTGGATGAAATGTAAGAATAGACAGGAACGGCAAGGGGCCCATGACAGAATAGATGTGAGTCCCTCAGGGATGTGAGTCGGATCAGATCGTTGGCTTTTCGAACTCCCGAACTCCGAAATCGCCGAGGGTTGACCCCACTTGAGGTGCTGAGAGCGTGGTCCGCGAGATGGTGCAGTCTTTGGGTGATCGCTACAGATTCTCGGCGCCCAGATGGCGAGATGTGAGCAAAGATGGAGAGATGCAAGTCACGAGGAAAGGGTGTGTGGCTTCCTTTGAAGTTTGCTTGTTGCTTCGATCCGGGTTTCGTGGAAGTAAACCGTGAACTCTTGGTTTTCGGATGGGGACGGTTTCCTGAAGAATCTGGCTCCAGAAGTGCTGCTGGCTCCAGTGGTGTCACTCGATACTTAGCGTCCGAGACGTCTTCGGACGTCTTCGGGTCTGAGTCATACAAGTCCCATCGAGACCAAGGGCTCTGCCAAGGGCCCTGCTTCCACGACTGTCGGTCTTGCGGGGCAGTGGACAGTTGGTAGGGATATTACACACAATTATGCAAATAATATATGTATACTTATGAGGTCCTGAACATGAATACTGTTGCGTTTGAAATATGTCGTGAAACCTTGAAGCAACCAACTGTTACCGCGTGTTCTTTTTTCGCCCACCACACGGGGCGAACGTTCTCCTCGCAGGTCGTGTGATCGACGCTGCCACCTTCGAACAGCTCATGGCCTTTGATCCGATGGGCGTTGGACTCGTCTTGGCGAGGAATGACCAGAAAGAGGCGGGACGGCTTGACGACTTGAGTCGTCGGATGGAGGTGTTTGGGAGGGGGAGGGGGGGAGGTTCCCAGGGAGAGGTTCTTCTTTTGGATCATTTTGAAACCGGGCTCGCCACATCGGTGTCATGGTGACGATGAGTGCGTGGCTTTCTCCCACAGCAAGCTGACCGATGAGTGGTGTTAAAAGGGCAGGGCTTTTCTTCCACGGTCGAAACACGAAAGGCAGGTCCATGGCGTTCCGGTGTTCACGTTTGCGCTCCGGTGTTCCGCGTTCTCGCACCTGGAGCATGTTCCGCACCTCGAGGAACATCTTTCAACTCGGTCTGGTTGCTATGCAGATGTTACTTTGGGGGAGTGGTGGCAACAGAAGGTGGGAAAGAAGTGCACATCACGTCTGATGGCAGCTTGACCCCATGGTTCAATGGAAGCCGTTAAACAAAAAGTCGGAGGCCGAATCACACAAGTGGCAGTCAGTCCAGATAGGGATCAAGAAAAGTTGTCTTGCAGGTGGACATGAATCCATTCTTCTCATTCGGCCTTGAATTGTTTTTGAGCCATTAGTCTCCACACAACTTCCAATAAATCCAATGTCCAGAAAGCAATAAATCTGGAGCCTCAGGAGAGGAGTTTTGATGTTCTCATTGTGCTGATGGGCAGAAATCAGCTGTATTTTGAGGTTACTTGAGGACAAACATGGAGCAGTTCTGTATCATTTCGGGGACCATGGTACTTTGATGATCCATAAAGGTTGAAGATGTGAGTGAAGCCCTGAACACCCGGCCCTGAACATGAGCGACAGATTGAATCTTTGGTTCAGGGGACGATACAACCATCCCTTCCGAAGAAATTGAATAAACGAAATTGGTGAACTTCCTTCACCGCGTCCACGGTGCTTCCCAAGTCGCTCTCCACGGTGAGGTCATCATTAGCTCTCCACCCTTTGCGGGCTCTTCGGCGGCCAAGGCAGGCAAGCGGGGTGATGGTGATGCTGAGATTTTGGGCCTGCGGCGCTGTTCACGGGGCGCAAAGCATAGCTTTTTAAGTTTTCAAGCAGAGAACAAGAGGATCTTATAGCTTTACGATACATTCTTCAAAGAGGGACTTCACTTTCGCTGTTACTACAGTTACGACTTACCATACAGTTTCTGCAGCTTCATGATTTGTTGTTCTTCCGGAATACCACAGCAAGTGTGCCCTTCTTTGACCCCTCGGATCCCCGAATTCGACAGTGGACATGCCAAGCTCCTTTTCCTCCATGGGGATCAGTTCCAGGTGATCTTGTACCTGGAGCCTGAGTGACCCCTGTTTTGGAGGATCAACTATCCCAAATATGGTCTTTCCTATCAAAACAGAGGTCAGTCAGGCTCTAGATATATATAATGTGTTGTGTGTTTCAAAGTAGCACATCACCACAGCAAGGTTTCGTCTCAATTTCTTCCAAAGGCTCCCGGTGAGGAAGAGAAACCCGGCGACAGACAGAAATCGCCTGGAACGAGAAATCGGCTCCCAGGCGGGTCTCCGGCAGGGGCAGCGGGTGGAGAAAGTGGACGACATGAGCTTCAAGGAGCAACTCGGGAGCAGAGAGAACTTCTTGGCCCCCCAAGAGTAGATGACATCTTGGCCCCCCAAGATGTCTGAGACAGATGGTGGCTCCTAAAAGTAAACATCCTTTTTTCATGCCCAGTTTGGGGGGGAGATTATTCAAAGTAAAGCTTATGTGGGTTTGACTCCAGCCAGGCAGCCAGCCAGCCAGCCTTGCTGCATTGAATGCAGTGTGACAGACACCTCCCGATCATTCACAAAGACTGCCACAAGCTTTGCCACGATCCCTTGCAACCCAAGGACCTAGGAGGCCTGGCCGTCTGACCCCCCCCCTCGCGGTCGCGGACCCAAGGCTGTCCCTCCTGGCCGTCGCGGACCGCGTCAGCACGCGGGACCCGCCCAGCGTGACGCTCACACTGCGTGAGGGCGAGGGCGAGACGAGGGAGGCCGAACCCCCTCGGGGCCGGGGTGAGGAGAGCGGTGTGGAGAGCGTCTTTTAGGACGAAAAGGGAACTGGTGGGAACTGGTGTAGGCAAAAGCATCTTGAACGGGAAGTGAGTCCGAGTGTCCGAGTGGCAATGCGTTAGCAGCTCAGGTCCTGAGCTGCCCCGGCGTTGAAACACCTGTGCGACTCCCTTCATGTGTGGGACTGTTGATGAACACAGTGCTTCCCCACCACAAAAGCGCGGGGACAGTGTGGCTATTCCTAGAGTCTAGAGTATTTGAGGTAATGTAACATTTCGTCCATTCCTGCATGGTGCCGTGCATGATAATTGAATTATATTGTAGACTTCATCGGCGCGAGATGATACGCAGAGAAGTTTGAACTCATTTGAAGGATTACAACCAAGAGGAAGCCAAAACATCATCACAGTAGGCACCATGCACACAGTGACCTCCCCACATTGCCCAACTATTGCCATGAAGCAAAGAAGTCTGATTTTTTGTTTCCCTTAAACATCTAGGAACGACAAGAACAGTGCGAGCGCACCGGGGGTGCCCTCAGGCAGGGGGAGCTTCATTGAAGAAGCGCGAGTTATCCCGCGTCTTACCTAGCTTACCTCCTTACTTAATTAAGCAGGCGGGCTTAAAGACTTGTCTTAAATGCAGGCTCTTTGGTGCATTTCCAGCTCTTTGGTGCAGTCACTTGTTCGATGGCTGCAGGCTGATAGTGGATGCTGTATATAGTTCTTGTCCACCTCAGGGTTTAGTGAGCGTCAGAATTCAGATGTCTCAGCAAAGAGCGCTGCTGTCAGGTGGTTCTTGAACGCCTCAGACAAGCAAAGCCACAGAACCAGGCAGGTCTTTTCTTCCTGTCGGTGTTGTTGGGTGTCATTTTGGTGCCACCTGAAGCGCCATGGGGCAATGAGTAGTTGGACATGAAGGTTTGAGGTTTCGTGGCGACTTCGGAGGGTTTTGGGTTCGGGGTTTGTTTCAGCGAAGAGTGCAGGATGGGGCCTTTGTTTCATTTTCTGCGTGCAAAAAACCGTTCCAAGCTCTGGCGTCGCCCGCAGACGGGAGAATGCACAGAGAGACTTGGTGGAACCCAGGGGATGTTCACCGGTTATAGTTATACCGCAAACCCACCTGCATTCCTCAAACGCCGAGGTGACGGACCCATCTCTACTGCGCTGAGAGGTGGTTTCTTTGACCCCTATTCTTTGGCACACATGTGGACATCATCATTTTTGGACTGATTTTGGTCGGTTTAGGTGGTGTTCTTTGGACCCTCCAGCCCGGGCTGGAGGTCGTTGACCGATCCATTCCCATCTGTCGTTTTCCTACGACACAGCTCGTCACCAAGGGTCGCTGGCCAGGTCGAGTCGGGCATCGTCACCAATGCTTTAGGCCACAAAGTGGGGTCCCTTGGCAGAACACTCAGGGGTGGGCAGAAATGGGCGGGCCGGGTCCATGGGGGCGAGGTCCGTGAAACACTTCGTGAATGTTTAAAGTTCAAGGTGATAAATGAGTCTGAGTCCCCCTTGGGCCATGTGTCACTTGATTCTGAATCGAATTGGTCAGTTTTTGCCAAAGTCAAGAGCCTTGATTTTCGATGAGTGGCATAAACTCAGGGTTGATTTGGGTGACTCTTGTACCTGCACCCTAAGAGTGCAGAAATCATGAAAAGGGTCCATGGTGAATGAGGGAGTTGTACCATGCGACACCATCCCTTGATGTTCTCATCAATACAGGAAAACCATACTGGATACCTATTCACCACCTAGTAGCTTCTTGTTCCTAGTAGTACGGCCAGTGAAACCACACCACAGTCCCTCATCGCTCCTCGCCCTCAGCTTCTTGCGGCTGCGGACCGTGGGCGCGCGCTCGGCGCTGGAGATGCAGGAGGCTCTGGGGCGACTGCGGGCCGAAGGTGCTCAAGAGTGGGTCATTGCCGCTCGGTGACAGGTCTGGGCTGTGTCTGGGCTCGGTGGGACTGACTGATGTTCAGAGCGACTGACACACGAAAAAAACACAGATGCATACAATAAACGTGTTGCAGTTGTGTGGATTACCAACTGCCAAAACGATATATTGTGTGTGTATATATATATATACACGTGTATATATGTATAGATACAGTACTGGAGATGAGACACGAATCCCCCAAGACGCCGAAGCTGGACATGACTGGTGGCTGTGAGTGAGCGGTCAGGGTCCGAGCGAAAACAATGACGTCAAGTACCTTCAACCGGTGATCAAGTACCTTTTCATCCACCAAGACAACCTTGGGATCCGCAAGACTGCCTTTCTTTTGCCCAGGATTTGCGAGGGAATGGAGGCATGGCCGGCACGCTAGTTGTTTTTCAGGATGTGTGGGGGTAGTAAGCGTGGGGGTGGTAGTAGTAGTAGTAGTAGTAGTAGCAGCAGTAGTAGTAGTAGTAGTGGTAGTGGTAGTGGTAGTGGTAGTCGTAGTAGTAGTAGTAGTAGTAGTAGTAGTAGTAGTAGTAGTAGGAGCAGTAGCAGTAATGGTAGAGTAGTAAACGAAACTGCCAGATCCAAGATCCAACCCCAGGTCACAGTCTGAAAAGTCGAACTGCTCGGCTTGGAGCAGGTGCAGGTGCCACATTCTTTGGGGTACTTAGGGCATACTTAACTCCAAGATGGGCTCTCATAGGCCGATAGGCCAGCAACAACCATGAGGAAGTGAATCAGTCTATGCTGACTTAAAGGAGTCGGATGTGAGATTGGGGTCAATCATTCTGCACCAGAGATTTAGAATGTGGTCAACCACAAGTAGCAAAGATGAGACCATGTCGAAAACAACTAGGACCATGAGATCATTTTGTGGATATCCGCTTTTCTCCGCATGGCTCCAGTCCCTGGCCTCACTTGCCTCACCAGGTGGCTCCTTCCCTGCAGCTCTGGAGGCGGCTGAGCTCTTCTTGCCGAAGGGAGCCACCGCTGCTCAGGTCGGGCGAGCCTTGGGGTGGGGGTCGTTGGAAAGACGCCATGAACACTTTGCGAGGAAGCGCACTTGTTAGACTTTGTGCTCCTTTTGATTATGGCTCAAAGACGGGCATGGTAGGGAAGAAGTGTCCAAGAAGTCAAGTGCTTCCCAAAAGCTGCCCACGGCCTGTTCACCAGAAACTTTATTTCTTTAGGGGGCCACCGGCTACTCTAGTGAACATGCTTGGGTCTTTTGAAAGGCAGTTTCTCACAATAAAGGCACTGGTGTGCAAAACACAAGGGTCTTCTGCATAGTCATCCTTGGAGAGCAAAAGTCTCAATCAATTGCAGGGTTACGATACAGATAGAGTGTGGTATGCTTTCTACTAGTAACAAGAAGTTACTAGTCTTTCCTGGCCTTACTACTAGGAGCAAGGACACTACTAGGGGCTCCTGGCATCGCTACTAGGAGCAAGGACGCTACTAGAGAAATTCCTCAAACCGTGACCGAAAGAACCAGGTGAAGCTGCCGAGCGTTGACAAGGAGAAGCCGATCTTGGTGGGAGAAGAAGGTCCATCGGCTCGCCCCCGCACCGCGACGGATCGCTTCCCACCGTGGATCGTTGTGGCAAACGATCATGGGCTGCCAAGGTGTGCTTGGACCAAGCAGGAGGTTATGCTGGGATTGGTGGGCAAATGCAATCCATTTGGGACACGAGCTCCTTTTGTGTCCTGGACGGGTGTGAAACGATCTTCGTGGGCCGGGCCCCGAAGTGTGGCCACATCTTGTAACTTCCTTCAAGAGTCTTTCATGTTTTGTGGGCTTGAAGGTGCTGGCTTGGTTGGACCTCCTGCAGGACTTCTTTCTTCGATTGAGAAGAACTAGGACTACTAAACCCTCCAAATGAAAGAGTAAAACATGTGGCCGGATTCTGGGTTCTCCTGCTGTTGATCCCTGCTCTTCTTCCCGACCCAGTCTGCGCCCGGCTCCGAGGCGAGCGCCAGGAGCGCGTGGGCTCCGCTACGGAGCCTGTCGCCGTGCTGGTGGACGCCGGCAGCGCAAGCGCCAGCGAGGCACCGGATGTCACTCCGCCCGTGTGGTTTCCGCCCGTGGGCCAGGTTCCTTTTGTAAAGAAGAGGTCCCAAGTAGAACCGCGGATTCTTTTCTTTTGGCAAGTGTTTGATGTATTCACTTGCTGTTTTGCTGGAGATTTCTGCGAGTGGTCTATTTTGATGACTTCTCAATGGGGTAAATCGCTGGGGCCAAGCGGAAACTTGCGATTCCTTTCTTACCCATCCCAAGTGCCACCGGACTTTGTCCTTCAGTAGTCATGAGTGGCCCGCCTCAACCCCCGGGGTATGACCTGTTCAATTCTGTTCCACTTACAAGGACTTCAGAAACATTGGAGTTGTTACAGCCAGCCACCTACTAGGTTGCTTCGCATGTCTGTCATAGCTAGCTAGTTTTCCACTAGTCTTCCACCTCCTCTTCCACCTGCTCATTCCCCAGCTTCGACCCGGCTCAGCGCCCGCTGTCCGCCGGTCCGTCTCCGGTCCTTCCGTCCGCGGCAGGTCCTGGCCGTGGCCCTGCGCGGCAACTGCCGTGCGCCGCTCATCGGCAGCCGGACCTACGGCAAGGCGGCCGTCCAAGGTGCCGGTCCCCGGGTCCGGGAGGCGACCCCCAAAACACATGGCACGAGAAGGAACGAACGAACGAAACGTGAGACCGGGGGGCCTGGAGGGGGTTTCTGAGGCCTTTTTCTCTTTGGGGATTTCATGTTTCCCCTTGGCGGTGGCAGAGTTGTCCCTTGGGTCGATGCAGAGCGAAGCAGCGCGGATGGCGGGCCATGCGACGCGCGGATGGTCGTAGTAGTAGTAGTAGTAGTAGTAGTAGTAGTAGCTGTCCATGGAATTCTTGACAAGAACCGTTTGGACACCATTCTTGATGAAGCCCCCAAGCAGACTCTTGCAAACATTGAGCCGGAGTGTTGGAGGACGGAGTTGCACCCTTACAACCCTTACAACATGCAGCCTTTTGTTCTGGCCACCCTTCTTGGGGTACAACATCCTTCTGGCCAAATATGACGTCAACATTGCGACAAAAGCTGGTTTTCTGGGTCCGTTCTACAGTAGATATTCATTGAATTGCGCCAGTTCCATGTTCCATGCGTGTATCTCGAGTCCCCTCATTTTGCCTCTCCCCACCAGCCGAGCTGTCATGATCCGCTGCTGTGACACATGTGACTGGTAGGTGTCTTTGGCTTGCCCAACAAGGTGGAGTTTTTGTCCGTTTTTCCGCACCGACGACTTGGGACAATGCGGCTGTTCGTTCTTTAAGACGGTGTTCGTTTGAAGGTGAGAATAGAGGAAGTTTGTTGCCTAGATCACTCAGCCTGACTAGCTGCCTGTGCGAGCTTGAATTCATTGGAATGTTGCATTGAATCTAGAGCTCTCAATTGAGACCTGTAAGCCTAACGCATACCGCATACCTATGCTGTTACGAGTGGATTTTGGGGCCCGTCCGAGTTCAAGACACACCTGAATCGGGGAGTGCTACGCAATCTCTTGCACTGCAAGAAGAGTTCACGTGAGGGGAGTATTGGACCATCCCTTGTTTGGGGTACAGTGGCATAGACTTTTCCAATCTTAGATAGGTAGATAAATGATCTCATTGACTCCATAGTCCATGGTATAGTCCATGGGGTCTTAAATCTAGACCTTAGTACAGTGGTGAGGGTCATGGGGTCACCAAATCTTAGGCCTTTTGACTTGGAGAAAGGGGAAAAGGGCCAACTCATACTCTCCTCTTTCTCTAAATCCTGAACCTTAAGATAACAACATATCAAAGCAATATACAGTATGTACATCTATATATACATTTGGTAGTGTAGTATTATGCTACACTGTGCTATTAAACTATATATATATAATATAGTGTATTATATTATACGATATGTTATTACTACTTACACAGTATTACACTCGTTTTAATGCTGGATTTGGTCAGACTTCCACCCACTTCACCGACAGCCGCAGGAGGCGGTGGCCCTCACCGTGGCGCGCTACTCCGGGCCTCATGGGGAGCGCATCGAAGGTGCGGGCGATGCTCCAGCGGCCGAAGGGGGAGCATGTGCACGCGGCAATTGGACGCGGAAATCGTCCATATTAGGGGAGGTGGTGTTTTGGTCTCCGCGGGGTTTTGAAGGTTGGGATGAAAGGGTTTCAGGGTTGGAAGGGAAGGTGCTAAAGATTCTTGAGAGGCTCAACGGATATCATGGGGATGCATATGAAGACTTTCAGATCAACTGAGAGATAGTGCTGCATAATTTTCTGCAACATGCAAAATTCGCCGACTCTGGATCAAAAGCTAAAAGATATATTCCGGGGAGAGGCGTGAAAGTGAACGGAGCAGTTGCTGTAGACCCAAATTTTGTTGTGAATGCTGGTCAAGTGATTGAAGGGACATACAATTGTATATCATTGCAAGTGATGATGCGCTTTGTGTGTTCTTTAAGTGTGCTAGGCCGCTAGGCCTCTTGCTGATAGGGAGTTGTAGTTCCGAATGGCATAGGACCACAGACGCAACTACCACAACCAGAACGTGCCATTCAGAAGCAGTTTTCTTGCGCTTTCCCGTGGCTGGAAAACTGTTCAATGATCTTATTGCAAGACTACTATGGAATCAGAAAGCCACTGGATTGTAGCAAAACAGCCTTCCAGAGCTTTTGTTTCTTACACAGACTTTATGCTGGTTGCTGCTAGTTTTGGGATCTAGGTTCCTCAATATTCCTGTAAAAATTGAGCTCTGTTGTTGATGTGTGAAGGTTGAACCTTAGTTGAACAGATAGCATTCGTTCCCAGATATTCCCATTTTTCGACTTGCCAAACGTTGGGAGAGAATACCATGTCCCACAATGTATCCAAATGCCTGAAACCATCTGAAATGTAACAATTGTCCTCAATTTGTTGGATCTGCATTTAGATTTAGACCATCTGAAATCCACCATTGTTAGCATTGTTGTTTTTCCCTGAAGTGCAATCCACGTCGGAGTCCTCACTCTGCTTGGGACGAGCCACGTTTCTTGTACGTCTCGAAGCTTTCAGCTGGTGCCAGCTAAGCTCTTCACAGGCGCTTTTCGCGGAAACCAACCCCGGGTCTCGGTCCAAGGCTTAGGCCTCCAGGCTTACCGTCCAATGAGTCTCCGATGTTTTTCCTTCGGTGACGGGTGTTCCGAGACGGTTTTGGACCGGTGAAACCGGGTCCCGGGTCTCGAGTCTCGTCTCCAGGTGGCTTGGAGCCTGACCTCTCCTCCGGCCTTAGCTTGGGGGGCCTCTCGCCGCAAGGGCTGATGTCGGCGCTGGGCGCCCCGCAGCTCAGCGCATAGTACGAAGGACAAGAAGGACGAGAAGGGACGAGCAGGACGCCTGCCAGTGGGGCTGAGAGTTTATTTGTTACTGTAGTAGTTGTTGTTATTAGTCTTATTATCATTACTTTTACTATTACTATTATTATATGTAATCAAAGGAAGTTTAGTGTTCAAAACTTCCGTGTTACGGACATTCAAAAGCTCTAGCTCTAGTTAGCTCTAGTTCCAGTCAGCTCTTCAACATGCATTTTGGAAGGAAGTCTCGTACAAAATGCTTTTTCAACAGCTCTAGCTCTAGTTAGCTCTAGTTCCAGTTAGCTCTTCAACATGCATTTTGGAAGGAAGTCTCGCAGAATGGCTTCGTTTTGCAGGTGTTCAACATGCACTTTGGAAGGAAGTCTCGTACCAAAATGAGTTTTCGAGAGATAGCGGACGCACGAAATGCTGTGTTTTTCAATACCTTCGCGTCACTCTCGGATCGTGCTCGGATCGGTCTCGAATCGTCCCTCCATGGTAACTAGAGTTTTCACTTGTTTCTTGTGTACAGATTTCGTGACAGGCACAGCACTCTGTGACCCTCGATGTGCAGATTTCGTGGCAGGTGCAGCACTCTGTGACCCTCGAAGTGCAGATTTCGCGGCAGGCACAGCACTTTGTGAACCTCGAAGTGTAGATTTCGTGGCAGGTGCAGCACTTGGTGAACCTCGAAGTGCAGATT